GCTTGTCGCGGCCACGGCAGTCACCTTTGTGTGATGTCCTAACACAGTGTTCTGCAGACCCCCAGTGAACTTTAAGATTATTTATATATAATCACCATAGGTTTAAACCAAAACAGCGCCTGTGGCATGTGCCTGTGTGTTGATATTCATGGGGTAAGACATGCGGGACACACACATGACCCCGGCCACCTCGTCACTTGGAATCACAGAGGACAACGATTTACCAGAGAACCGTCAACAGTCAAGTGACTAGTGTCCTCTGGCTATTTCATGAGATCTGCATCTAACAGAGTACAGCTGTTCACCTGTGCACAGAAAAGGGGCGGGGAAGACTGCAATTTAAAAGCAAATGCAGCATCCAATGGTAAAGACGCCTATTAAAAGCCACCGAGGAATTCCAGAGATGAGAACCGGCAAAGCCCCACTCCCCCTGAGGGAGCGCACGCTTCAAAATCTAATACGGTCCTGCAAGCCACCTACGCAATGAAGGGACACGGCCAAGGAGGCCAGTGTCCCGACAGCGGATGCACGTGTCAGCCGTCCTACACCAGGGTGGCTGTGGACCCAGGAGAGGACAGTCTTCAGAGACTCCAGGCTTCAGTCAGAAAACAAAAAAGCTGCACACAAACAAGCCTGCACAATCAAAATGAACCATTTTCCCAACATACGTCGTTTTACCCAAAGTCTCACTGCCAATGCTAATACTATGCGTCGGTTTCGCTAATGCATCTTTTCCCACTCCACGTGAGATCAATAGAAAACAGGCTTCCAGCTTTTATACCCTGGACCATATTAGAAACTACAAATTTAGGGATTTAAATACATTACCACCTGATTTCCATAGAGCTGCCACGTGAACTTCATTTAAAGGTAAGACTTCTCACTTCTTACAGTGGACAGAAAAAAGTCTATGCTGATAGGATAAGGCGAATGGTAAAAACAACCATGAAACAGGGGTGTTCAAGACCTGCCCAGCATCACACAACCGTCACCAAGGCTGGTCGCACATCTCGTTTCTCTGGAATAACTGATTCATGGTATTTGTGGTATTTAAGGTATGTATGGTTTTTCTGTTTATTATTCTCACTGAGAGTCCACGCATTTTCTGAGCAGGTGACACAAATCAGAACTGTGCCTTCTGATTGCACACCAGCTAGGAACAAGGCAGCAGAGTAAATCACGGTGCAGGCCGCTAAGGGAGTGAAGTCAGTGGCTCTCGGACATCCTGCAGCAAACACCGAGAGGCCAGACCAAAACACACGAGGGCTGCCCAGCCCTCCTGGTGTGCTCGAGGGCCCAGCACCCAAAAGAAAGTCGATGTGTTATGTCAGCGTCACTCGCTACAACCAAGGGCTGATGTTCCTAAGCCAGTGAGGGGATTTCTACTTCCGCCCCGTTACTGGGCATCCGTATACCTCAGGATTTATTATCCACGACTTATCTATGAGTCACCCGAGTTCCAGTAAAAACACACACATTCATGAAACGTGGATGAGGCAATAGAGGAAGATTGAAAACTCACTTATCCAGATCCAGCTCGAAGCTTAAGTCACAAACACTATAAACGACGAGGTCTGGTTGGCCCTGTCTTATTAACCACGTCTGCCAGTATCGGCTTAGCAGCCTCCTATGTCGCTGCCTAGGGAATCTGTGGGAAAGAGGCCATCGCTCCACTTGGGGAGTGCACTTGGCTTCGCCTCCCTTGCTCAGAGTGAAGAGAGAGGCTGGAACTCAGGTTAGCAGCGATGAGAATATCAACTCCACCCAACCTGGACTTTTTACAGATGGTTTAAACCTCTGCACCACCAAAGTCAAGTGAGAATGAAATAGACACACCTTATGCAGCACGCTGACTAATTGAGAATGACATCACTTTCAGTATAGAAAGCACAAGTCTTGGCCATAATACATCTAGTGATACTGAACAGGTATCGCTGAATATCTTCCATTAAAAACAATTCTGCAGCAGGTGCTCGGCCTGGCAGTTAAGATACCAGCGAAGATGCCCACAGCCCGCATCCGAGTGCCCGGGTTAGATTCCCGGCTTCGGCTACTGATCGGAGCTTCCTGCCAGTGCAGACTCTGGGGGCGGCCGTGGAAGTTCAAGAAGCTGAGTCCCTGCTGCCCCTGTGGGCGACCTACATTGAGTTCCAGGTTCCTGGTTCAGCCCAGGCCAGCCCCGGCCACTGCAGGCCTTTGGGGAGTGAACCAGAGGATGGAAGCTCTCTCCAACAACAACAGAATCCATTATCCCCTGTGTGATCACAGATGTGTGTCTGGTTACCAAGCAAACCAGATGATTTATTTTTCCCCCAAAAAACCAAGCAACTGGCAACAGAATTAACACCAAGGTAACCGCCAGGTTGAAACACATCAACTACCTAACTGACCGTGTCGGTAAATAAAAATACTCACATATTTCAGATGTTCGGCTTCACCTACATCAAACATTCTCAATCATGCTAACATTAGAAACGTGACAGACGCTGACAATTCTACTGGACATTCCCTAATCTTAGAAAAAGCATGAGAAATCGAGAGGGCACACGAAATACTGCTGAAGCAGTGAGAACGACCTGGCTAGACAACCGGAGAAAGCAAGGTTCTTTCTTTACCTCAAAGCTGGAGAGGCCCTGGGTCCCTCGCCTACCATCTTAGCTGGCAAAACCCCTCAGCAAAGTAAACATCCCAGAAACCTAGTGCCTCAGATGCTGACTAAACGTGAAACAGGAAAAGGTTTGCAAAGGAAACACACCTCAAATGCTCTAGCACGGCAGAGTTTTAATCATTCGATGTCTCTGGTGATCTCCATACGGCCACAAACACAAGTGCACCTGAAAAGGAGCTACCCCTGGCTCCCCACACGCACACCCAAGGCTGCCTTCACCCTCCCTCGGAGCAGCACCCTCGTTACAAGTCTCCCACGGCGTCCAGGTCTCCAGACCCCACTACAGTGTCTTCAGCCACATGTAGAGAATCAGCAGAGACGTCGTGGGAGCAGAAGGTCCAGTGACCCAGAGGAAGTCACCAATCTGAATCTCTCCCAAGAACGGCTTTGCGCCAGAAATTCCCTAAGTGGCCAGCAACATCAGAACAACTCGGAGGTGAACAGGCTGCCTTTCACTCTTGCTACGGGAGGTGACAACGTCGCGGCTGCCGTGAGACCTGCCTTCCGAGTCCGCCTCGCGGGGACGACACTAACGCTCACTTACCTTGGGCGGATCTGCGAGGCGAGGCAGCGGCACACCACGCAGCGGCACGTGAACTAGACACGCAAAGTCTGTAAGAGCTGTGAAGCGAGAATCTCGTTTACAAAGCGTTGCCACTGGAAGCCCCACATACCTCAACACATCAAACGATCTCTCTGGTTTGGTGTTTTTTTTTTTTTAATTTTTTGAGTGTCAAATGACTTAATAACACATTGTGCAAAATTCTATCAGTTCTAGAAGATCTTCGGTGTAACAAACTCCAGTCCCTTCCTAGTCCACCTGTATCGGTCACCCAGAAGCCAAGTTCACGGTCCCCAAGTGCTCCCACTACTGCTGCCTGCACGAGGAAGGTGCACAGATCCACTTCTTAGTAGGAAAAAAAATCAAAATTATTTCCTAAAACAAGCCATTAATTTCCCTTCCCCTACCAAAGGCCGTCCCCTAGCAAACCCCAAAGATTTCCTGGTGGAGGAAGAGGCAAGGGGACACGGGAAGGGGTCGGGGAGAGCAGTAAACTGCGGGTTAATTAACACGCAGGGTCCTTCAGAATTAACGAGCAATTAACACGGAATTGAGGAATTCCTCCGAGAGCAAGGAAGCGGGGGTCGCTACCCGAAACCTCTCAAAGCCACAGGGCAGAGCTCATGCAAAACGCGGAAACACACGGGGCCGGGCCCTCGCAGGGGTGAGAGCCGGCTCCGGCGTGCAGGAGTTATCGGGGCGCCGGGGTCACGCGTGGGCAGCGGGGCCGGGAGAGGGTGCACTCCCAGGCAACTGCCCCCCAAATGCAGCCCCGCGCGGGGGGGGGGGGCAGGGATGAACAATGGGGGAGGGGAGGCCCGGCTCCTTACCTGGCCGCAGATGCTGGTGCCCGGCTCCCCGCCGCCGCCGGCTCCCACCTGGAAAACAGCAGCGGCGAGGAGGGGGCTCGCCCCCGCCCACCCTCCCGGCCGGCCCCGGCCCCCCGGCGGAGGTAACTGACTTTACCTGTCCCCTCAGCTGCGGCCCCTCTCCCTCCTTTGCGTCTCCTCCACACTCGCCAACTTCTCCATTGAAGAAACACCCCAGGCAGGGCCGGACGCGGGGGCTCCCCTCACGGCCCCGAGCCGCCGAGCATCCGCACCGCCGAGCAGGCGCGGGGCGGCGGTCCCGGCGGCCGGGCAGCCTCGGGGCAGGGGTGCAGGGAGGAAGTCCCGGCTCGGGTGGGGGGGCAGTCCCGGGCCAGGGGCTCGGAGCAGGGGCTTGCCGCGCTCCGGGCCGGAGGCTTCCAGCTGCGGAGGGACCCAGGAGGTCGCGGGACAGCGAGGTCCCGGGTCATACAGGGGCCCAAGTGCCAGCAGCGGGGTCTCCGGACTGGGGGCTTTCGGGATGCACTTTGCACTGGGCCACCCCCGCCCCCTCCCTCCAGCACTTTGGGGTCACTGGGATGGGACCAAGCCTTCAGCGACCAATCAGCGGCCGCCCTGGAGCCTGAGCCCGGAGCCGTAAACCAGGTCCGGGGTGGGTGGGGGTGGGGGGTGGGGGCGACTTGGTTGGTTGGTTGCTTCCTTCTCTCCTCCTTACCCCGGCAGCCCCCACCCCCTGGATGCCGTAAAGCTGCCTGCGCATTCGCGACAGTTGGAGGAGGCGTGCCGATCTGGGCTGGGACTCGTTTCTGATTGGTCTCACTTGCTTTCCCCCCCCCCACCGCGGCTTCCCCGCCGTGGCTTCCGAGGCTCCGCCCCTGGCGGGGGGACTCGAAGCGGTTGCTAAGAGACGCGGTACGCTGAACGCGGCCTCTGCGCATGCGGGGGGAGGGGCCATCGTGTACTTTCCGTGAACTACGGTGGCCCGGAGGGGGTAGGGCTCAATGGAATGGCGTTGCGAGTGCGGAGTTCCGTGAGCAGGGTTCCGGGCAGGTAACCGGGTGCTCTCGCTGGGCTCGGCGGCGGGGGCGGCGTGCGTGCGGCAGGCTGAGGGGCGTAAAGGCTGTGGAGGCGGCAGTTGCGAGCCTTGACCCGTCGCTCCCCAGCGCTTGGGAGACGCAGGTGCCTGGCGCTGGTCGCTCTGTGGTTCCCCGAGACCCCGTTAGCCACCGGGCTGGGGGTGGGAGGGAGGACCGGTGATGCCGGCCCGGGCGCTTTCCGGCAAGGGTAGCGACCTTTCGGAATCGTGTGTGAGGGGAAGGCAGAGAGAGCGAGCCGCGGACTCGGGCTGGGAAGGCGTCTCCTGGGTCCGCGGCGGTGTGCTGACCCGGCGGCTGTTCCCGGGCGCCGGCCCGACGTTTGTGCCTTCACCGTGACGGGGCAGGCGGCGAACGCGCAATGGCCCGGGACCGGGCGCCGGGACGTCGGGGGTCGTGGCCGGCTGGGAGGTGACCTTGGAACGGCCGGGAGCCCCGCCGGGATCTGCGGGGGGACGAACGTCGGGCACCCGGGGCCGAGTGGTCCGGGCGTCGGGGAGGTGGCCGGCTGGGAGGTGACCTTGGAGCGGGCTCCGCGGCAGGGCCTCCGGAGGGAGCTTTGCTCCTGACAGACGCTGCGAGAAGCACGGCCGGCGTCGTGGACGGGAGCGCTGCGGGGCTGCGGGGCTGCGGGGAGGTCCCTGGCTGCTCTGCAGTGTGCGAGGGATGGGCTGGGCTGGGGTTCAATCACAGTTGACCGTGTCCAGTGTCCTCAAAGAAAGCCTTCCTCCTCCGTGTATAGAAGAAACATGCACGGACATTTTGTGGCAGGTGGGGTCCAAGGGTGGCGTTTGTCCCCCGCGGTCATACCCAGCGCCGTGCACACGAGCTACCCGTGGATGGCTTAGCTGGGCCCTGGGCTCCGTCCTGTGCTGGGAAACTCCTGATCGAGGGCAGGCGGCCGTGCGGGGAGGTGGACGCCCTGACCGGGGCTGAGCGGGCGTGCGGCCGCGCTGGCTGACCCCGACGTCGACATGCGGGAGGCTTTCCGGGGCTGCTGGTGTCTGTCTGGAAGGGTGCGGGCGGGTGGGAGGAAGCGGAGCACATCCTGGGCACCCTTAAAGTGCCCCCGAGAGCTTATGGGGCCAGCGCTGCGCCCTAGCAGGTGAAGCCCTCGCCTGCGGTGCCAGCATCCCACGGGGGCGCCAGTTCAAGTCCCGGCTGTTCCTCTTCCAAACCAGCTCTCTGCTGTGGCCTGGGAAAGCAGTGGAAGATGGCCCAAGTCCTTGGGTCCCTGCACCTGTGTGGGAGACCCGGAGGAGGCTCCTGGCTCCTGGCTTCGGATTGGCGCAGCTCTGGCCATTGTGGCCAATTGGGGAGTGAACCAATGGATGGAAGACCCCCCATCCCCGTGTGTGTGTGTGTGTGTGTGTGTGTAACTCTGACCTTCAAGTAAATAAATACATCTTTAAAAAGAAAGAAAGCAAGCCAAGAGTTTAATTTATGGGACACAGAGGTGAGAAGACCCCGGGAGTCAGATCTTGAAGAGCCAGGGAGACCGGCTGATGGGTTTGGGGACTTTATCCTAGGAGAGTTGAGGGCTTTTGAGAAGGCAGTGGGCATAGGATGGGCCAAGATGCGGCCACTCAGGGAGGCGCCTGCAGCAGGTGTCCAGGGTGGAAGGGGTGGGGGGTGGGGGTTGAGACAGGTGGGGTGTGCAGGAGAAAGCCAGTTTGAGGGCGGATGGAAGGGGTTGAGTTTGCGTGGAAGGGGCCTGTGGGCCTCCAGGAGGCATCGGGGACTTGAGCCCAGCAGAGAGCCAGGCCCTAAAGGTGGGGGTACAGGTTGAGTGTCCCTCGTCTGAAAACCTGAAATGTCCAAAACGTCACATTTAACATTGATTTTGGGGTTTTGGAATAGGATGCTCCCAGCCTGCAGAATTTCCAAGATCAGAAAAACCCTGAAATCTGAAATACAAGCATTGCAGAGAAGGGAACTCTACCTGCAGTAACCGAAGATCTCAGGAGAGGCAGGATGGAGGGACTGAGCACTGAGCACCTGCAGGTGCCACGTTTAGGATAGCGGAGGAGGGGACCCCGGAGGAGGGGACCCCGACAGGGTGGCCGAGCGCTGAGCCTGCAGAGGGAGAGGAGCCACTCCAGGACAGGCTGACTTGTCAAGGGTTGGCGTGTATTTTGGGGAAATACCATGTTTTTGGCAGAACCATTTTTTCACAGGAAGACTGAAATGTCTGAGACGCCCAATTTTCCTTTAAAGATTTGCCCCTTGGGCCAGGAACTGAACGCTGAAATCACACATGGAAAAGCACACTGGTTTGTAGGAAGAGGGGCATCCAAACATGCGTTTTCTGGAGGGACCCTCATGCATGGTAGAGGGACGTGGGCATCAGTTAATCGATAATTAAATTAGCATGCACATCTGGTGAGCCCCAACGTTCTCTTTCCCTTGATCTGTGTAAGACTTTTCTGAAAATACAAATTCTTGGAAGAACAGCCTCACTAACCACAGGCACGGAGTGGAAAACCCAAGTTCTGTTTCAGTAAGAGCCAGGTTCCAAATCATACATGAAAGTCCTTCTTCTCCGGCCAGCACACCGTGTAAGGCCCGCAGAACCATGTGGTCTGTCCTTGCCAAGGAGGCCTTCGGCAGGACTTGAAATTCAGTAAATCTGTAGCAGGCTGATTTCTAAGCGGATAACTTTGTGTGGCCTGTGAGTGATGTTATAAATACCCAAACGGCCCTTGGCAGGGAAAAGTCTCCCTACCCCTGCACAGCTGAATTCACCCAGAAAGTGCAGTTATCTGAAGGTATATTTGAAAGAAAATACATCCGAGTGTGGGAGCAGCTTGAAACGAGAGGTTTTGCCCAGAGTGTGGAACAGTGACGCTCAGAACGAGATAATTCTTCCTGAAAAAAATAATCACATAAGTCCAGCTTTGAGGGGCTGGCGTGCGGCCTGGCAGTTGGAATGCCTGCAGTCCACATCTGAGTGGCGGGGCTCAGTTCCCAGCTCCAGCCCCCGATTCCAGCTTCCTGCTAATGCTGGTCCTGGGAGGCAGCGGCTGATGGCTCAGGTGGCTCAAGCAGTTAGATCCCCACACCCCGTGAGAGACCCAGGTTGAACTCTGGCTTCTCGCCTCAGCCCTCTCCACCCCCCACCCCCGCCCCCAGCCATGTGGGCATTTTGAGAGAGACTGTGGATAGCATTTGTTCCCTCTGCCTCTCAAATAAGTAATTTTAAAGAGTAAATGTTAAGGATGCCACATATTTTTGGAAGTACAATTTCTGATATTTTAAAATCAGCTCTTAGGTGTTTGCCCTGTTAACACTTCTCAACAGTCACGTTTCATAAGTTCAAATTTCTAAATTTTCCTTTCTCCTTCGAGTAGATAGTTGAATCATGGTGAGATGCTAGATTTCAGCGGGGCTGGAGATGGGTCAGCTCCAGTCGGGATTCCTCCGGGTTCAGTTACAGAGACAGGCGGTTTGGGCCGTGCTTGTCATACCTCCTTCTCCAGTGACACCTTCGTGTCTCGGTCCCCTCCACAGGGCTGAAACGCTGCCTGTGCTGCTAGACTTCGTCCCTGGCTCCTCCCCGGTGCCGTCGCTGGCTCTCGGGAGCCTTGATCTCCACGTCACACCTCTAGTGCTTTAGGGTTATGGGATTTCAGACATACGAGCGGCTTTAGGACCCATCTGCTCTCAGATTTTCCCAGTGTACAGTGGTATTTTGCTGTTGTGTATTGCAATGTCTGAGACGCCATTGTCTTACACTAAACTCCTACACTAAGCCGCGGACCAGACCAAACCAGAATGGAGGCACCAGTGCCAGGTGCCACATAAGCAGGCTGGACTTGAGATGGTCCAGTTTTCTAAACAGCCGATGACTTCAGAGGGGACCTGGTTTACCCGAACCATTGAGATACGGAAGTCTCCCTTCAGGTGTTTTTGTTAAGATTTATTTATTTTTACTTGAAAGAGCTGCAAAGAGAAAGGGAAAGAGACAGACAAGAGGTCATCCAACCACTGGTTCTCTCCCCAGATGGCTGCAACGGTCCAGGGCTGGGCCAGGCCAAAGCCAGGAGCTTCTTCTAGGTCTCCCACATGGATGCAGGGGCCCAAGCACTTGGGCCATTCTCTGCTTTTCCCAGGCCATTAGCAGGGAGCTGGATTGGAAGTGGAGCAGCTGGGACTCAAACCAGTGCCCATATGGGATGCCAGTGTCTCAGGTGACTGCTTTCCCCACTATGCACGGGGCCGACCTTGTTTTACCAAGTAAGGAAAGTCACTTGGAAACAACCGATCCACTTTTTCTTCTCCCTTTCCTGCTTCTGCCGCCCTTCCTCCCTTTAAGCCCCCTCCTCTGCTCAGCTTCCCAGCACCCTCTCTAAGAGACATGCTGCCCATTTCACGAATTGCTAATAAAAGCCACTTAGATCTTCAGATTGGTTGCAATTTTTAACACTGGAGTGAAATTTACAAGTTCAGTTTCACAACATTTACTGATTATAGAACTGGACAGTATTGAACTCCAAAAGGAATGAAACAGAGTAGTGAGAGAAGTGAATAAATGATGTGAATGATTATGTAGAGTGTCTTACAGTTTGGTCCCCTGTTCAGAGTGCTGGGGACCAGAGTGGTGCAGATTTTGGACTGTTTCCTCTTGGATTTTGGCATATTTACATGTAGAATTGAGAGCATCCCTAATCCAAGAATCCGAACTCCAAAGCCCTCTGGAATTCAGTGCTCAGAAATTTCGTATCAGGGGGCCGGCGCTGTGGTGCAGCAGGTTAACACCCTGGCCTGAGGTGCCAGCATCCCATCTGGGCGCAGGTTCTAGTCCCGGCTGCTCCTCTTCTGATCCAGCTCCCTGCTATGGCCTGGGATGGCAGTAGAAGATGTCCCAAGTCCTTGGGCCCTTGCACCCAAGTGGGGGACTCGGAGGAAGCTCCTGGCTCCTGGCTTCGGATTGGTGCAGCTCCAGCCGTTGCGGCGGCCATCTGGGGAGTGAACTAGTGGATGGAAGACCTCTCTCTCTGTCTCTACCTCTCTCTGTAACTCTGTCTTTCAAATGAATAAAATAAATGTTTAAAAAAAAGTATCAGATTTCAAGTATCAGATTTCAAGTTTCAGATTTTTGGGTGAGGGGTACTCAACCTGTAGCAGCCCCAGCACCCATGTGTTGAGATAGTGTGTGTGCCAAGTGCTGGTTCCATGAGGGCCCAGGTGGCTCCTGGGAGCTGACTTGTCTCCTGATTCCCAGCTCATCCATACTCCTGGCCATTTGTTTTTCCCTCAAAATCCCGTCTTCAAGTTGCAATAATTTTTCAAATGATTCATCATAAGGAGCATCATATTGCCACAATTTCATAGAATGTGCTACAAAATCATTCCAAATTCCTTTATTGACTTGGTGCTGTCAAATTGGTAATTTTCCTTCCTTCCTTCCTTCCTTCCTTCCTTCCTTCCTTCCTTCCTTCCTTCCTTCCTTCCTTCCTTCCTAAAAAGATTTATTTGTTTATTTTAAAGTAAGAGTTATGTAGAGAGAGAGAGAGAGGTCTTTCATCTGCTGATTCACTTCCCAATTGGCTGAAATGGCCGGAGCTGGGCCAGTCAGAAGCCAGGAGCCAGGAGCCTTCTCCAGGTCTCCCACGTGGGTGCAGGGGCCCAAGGATTTGGGCCATAGCAGAGAGCAGGATCGAAGTGGAGCAGCAGGGTCTCGAACCAGCGCCCATATGGGATGCTGGCACTGCAGGCAGCAGCTTCACGCGCTACACCACAGTGCAGGCTCCATGTAATTTTCATATTATAACTTTTCATTGGTTTAAAAGCAGTTTAGATTGACTAGGTTTTGACAGACATACTTTATTTTTCATTGACTTAGGCAATAAAGTCCACAGAAATATTAATCCTAATGTTACAAAACATAGAAGTAATTCAGCATAAATGTTTATGGAACTTAATTCCTAAAAACCCTTACGAAGCCAGAATTGAATTTATTCCCTGAGTAGAGGAAGACTTTGGCGTTGGACAAATACCCAGCCACCTGCACCGCGATTCTGATGCTGCTGATCCCCAGGTGTCCAGGGCTTGGGATTTTCCTAGTGCTGCAGGGGTTGTGGTGTGGCCAGGGTCAAGGGCCACTGCCCGGAGGCTGTGTCCTGGCCCTTGAAGCTCATTGTGGTGGGGAGGATGAGCAGTTTATGTTCGGGGAGATAGCAGGCAGCATTCTGGGGCCACAGGGGTTGTCTGGAAACCTGGGTGCGGCAGGTAGGGCCACCGTGAACGTAGAGGTGCGTCCACCTGCAGGAAGGGTGGATGGTGAGGCTGGGGAAAGGCGTTTCCTGTAGACCCTGGTCCCATCATCCCAGCAAAAAGGGACCTGGAAGAAAGGAGGCTGACTGGTGGCCTTGGAGTTCCTTGTAGCTCTTGTCCTGGTAACTTCTGGTAGCCTGAGGGGTTTTCTTCTCCAGGGGCAGTTTTAGTTTACACTTCCCAGAGCTGTGTTAGGATGTGATGTCACTGTGTGTGCCACTTCTGCTGGACTCATTGTCAGGTGTCTGATTCTCACGGGAAGACTGAGCGACCTGAGGTCTCAGTTCCTGCTCCGAATCTGACTGCATTCACACATTCTTGGCATGAGGTTTTTTTAGTTTTTTGGATAATTTAAACTGCAAAAGTTAAAAACTATAGCACTTTGAAAATACTGAAAATCAAAATAATAGCAAAATAGCCGTGGGAACTAATTGTGGAATTATTTCACACATGCTCTATGTTACTAATTTTCCTTTCATCCAGGAGTATCCTTGACAACAGTCCAAGTCCCGCCCTGTGGGAGGCGCCGTGTGGGAGCTGGGGAAGAAGTGGTGCGCCAGCAGACAGCGCGTGCGGACGTTGCCGTCTAGCCTGGGAACGCGGCCACGGCACTGCTCAGTAAGGTCCAGTGGAGACCCTGCGTGAGACCTCCAGTGCGTGGGGCCAGGAGCCCCGCACGAGGCCTGCCCTTGCTGGAGAAAGGCGTGTTTGCCCCTGAAGCAGGAAGGAAAGGGCACGGAAGAGCTTAAGCAAAGAGGCAGCACCTCGTGCAGACCCAGAGGCGCAGGGAACCCTCCAGGGTGACTAAATGAGGGGGCGTTGCACCCTCCTGCCTGAGATACAGGACCCTGGTCACCAGGTGAGCCCTGTACACTCTGCCAGTCTTTGAGCGTGTGCCCCTTTGCCGGGGAGGTTGGCCATCGTATTTTCCCACCTGCAGACCACGTCCCGTCCGTATGTAGTCAGTGAATTCTGAGTGGTGTCCCTCTCTGGACAGTCCCTGCACTAACCTGCCAGCCTCAGCAGTTAAACAGAGCGTCGTGTGAACAACTGAGGGCAAACAAGTTTTGTTTTTTGTATTGCTACGCTGAAGATTGTCCAGCTTTTTAAAAAGGTGCTTGACATCAGCACAGATATAAACCCAGGGAGGTAAGATTCTGAGGAGGTAAAATCCAGGAGATCGGTTAGTGGCTCTCAGAGTGGCACCTGGTCCCATTCGGGCCCTCTCCATACTGGCCGGATCCGACTGGGTCAGAATCAGTGGGGTGGGCTGTGCAGGGAATTCTGATCGAGTTGTCTCCAAGAGTTTGTCTGGGACTGAGGTATCCTGATTGCAACATCTGGGGCCAGCCTGTGCCTTGCTGGGACACGGTGCGTCTGGAATGACAGAGCTAACTGGGAAAGCCACGGGGCGGGTCATGTGGTTGTTAGGCGCTAAGTCCATCTGTCCAGGCTGCTGGGACCAAAACTGCTTTGTTATTTTGGGGAAACCAATACAAGCTTTCGTGGCTATCCAACAGCTCTGTGTTTGCTGAGCCGCTCTATTAAAGGTGAACTGTCAAGGTGTCTTTCAGAGCAACGTGACCTTGCTCTGCACTGCCCCCGCTTTCAGAGGCCCCGTGTTCCTGAGTCGGTCCTCACCGCTTTCCTTACCAAGGCTCTGTAACCAGTGTTTAACTTGCACCTCCTGAAAAAGCGGGGGAGGCGGGGACTGGCTTTCTCAAACCGTGTTCACTCATGTTTCAAAAATAGCTTTACGCCACACCTGAGTGAAGTGCAGAGGGGAAAAAAAGGGAGCAAGCAGGGCGGGCTGTGGAGTCGAGCGTGTCAGGGGTCCTTGGCATCCTGTGAGCCAGAGGCCAGCGTTAACGGCCTTGGAGACTGGCTGAGAGGCCGAGTGCCCGGCGGAGACTCGCGGTCACAGGCTCTTACTGTACTCCACTTTGACAGAAGAACGCTTTCACAAATGAAGAAGCTATAACAATAATAATGAAGATTTATTTCTTTATTTGAAAGGGAGAGCTACAGAGAGAGAAAGTGACGGATCTTCCATCTGCTGGTTCACTCCCCAATTGGCCTCGACAGCCCGGGCTGGGCCATGCAGAAGTCAGAGCGAGGGACAGGGCCATCTTCTACTTTCCCAGGCACATGAGCAGGGTTCTGGATCACAAGTGGGGCAGCTGGGACTTGAACCAGCACTCATACAAGATGCTGTTGCCTCAGGCAGTGGCTTAACGCACTGCACCACGATGACAGCCCCTTAAGAAGCCTTTTATCTGTAACTTGATTGCCAGACTTTTCCTTCATGCCAAAAAAAGAAAAAATCCCTTTCCTGTATCAGAGTCATAACAAGAGTTGATAAGAGGGGGCCGGCGTTGTGGCGCAATGTGTTAAAGCCCTGGCCTGAAGCGCTGCCATCCCATATAAGCGCCGGTTCTAGTCCCGGCTGCTCCACTTCCCATCCCACTCTCTGCTATGGCCTGGGATAGCAGTGGAAGATGGCCCAACTCCTTGGGCCCCTGTACACACGTGGGATACCCAGAGGAAGCCTCTGGCTCCTGGCTTCAGATCGGCACAGCTCCAGCCGTTGCAGCCATCTGGGGAGTGAACCAGTGGATAGAAAACCTCTCTCTCTGTCTCTACCTCTCTAACTCTGTCTTTCAAATAAATAAAATAAATCTTAAAAAAAAAAAAAAGAGTTGATAAGAGGACAGTGTCCTAACAGGATGGGGTTTTTTTTTATTACTTTTTTTTTTGACAGAGTGGACAGTGAGAGAGAGAGACAGAGAGAAAGGTCTTCCTTTGCCGTTGGTTCACCCTCCAATGGCTACCACGGCCGGTGCGCTGCGGCCGGCGCACTGCGGTGATCCGAAGGCAGGAGCCAAGTGCTTACCCTGGTCTCCCATGAGGTGCAGGGCCCAAGCACTTGGGCCATCCTCCACTGCACTCCCAGGCCACAGCAGAGAGCTGGCCTGGAAGAGGGGCAACCGGGACTAGAACCCCGTGTGCTGGCGCCGCTAGGCGGAGGATTAGCTTACTGAGCCGTGGCACCAGCAAGGATGGGGCTTAAATGTTTCCAGTGTCCCAGCAATAGCCTGAGAATTGTCAGAACTAACACATATTATTGGGCCGCATCCCCAATCCAATCATTTGAGACTCCCAGGGTAGGTAAGCTGCTGTCCTCTGCCTTTACAAGTTTTCAAGGGACTGTGATGCACACCAAATTTCAAGCACTTTTGTCTGAAGGAAACCAGCAGGGGGTGGTGTAGCCCCCAGGACTAGTCCCTGCCAGTACTTCCTTCGGGCCTAAAGGCTGGAGGCCCCCAGTTCCTGGAACTTGAAAGTGCGGCCTGCTGACCCCACTCTGTACCCTCAGGTCTGCTGTTGGAGCCTGACAGGGCAGGAGTGGAACCAGCCAGCCCGAGCTCCCCGGCACATGGCTGCTGTCTGGAAGTTTGAAGCTCCCCGGCGCATGGCTGCTGTCCGGAAGTTCGAAGCTCCCCAGCACGTGCCTGCTGTCCGGAAGTTTGCCTCCTCCCTGCTTGAAGAGGCTGACAGACCCCTTTTGTTTTTTCTGGCAGAGTTACTGCTGTCCCGGTTGGGAGAGGGAACCTGAATCCTGGAAGGCAGCGTTTGTCCTCAGTGCTTCACCTTCTTGGATTATCACAACATCTTCATTAATGGAACAGGACGAATGAAGTAGCCTTGGAGGCTACTTGTATTCATGCAGGTGTATGTATATGGGATGTGGGGCACTAGGCCAGATTAGGTAGGATAGGTAAGCTGGAATCACGGTTTCTGCCAGCTCTGCATTGTATCTCTACCCCCTCACCTGTCTATCCAGTAAACCCACCTTCCCATGACGCACCAGGAAGGAACAGTTGCCATCAAGGCCAGCTGGAAGTTCAACTCCCCATGGAGGCACTGTGAAACCCCTAGAAAGCCTCCCTGTCTCATAGGAGAGACTGTTAATGTGCCAGCACCTTTCTTTGGCCCTGGGCTTCTAAACCATGCTATGGGCCCTTCTCTGGCTTCCTCCCATTCTCCCCATAGACAGCTCTCTGGCCCACTGATGTTGGGTATTTCTCCACGTGGGGAGAAACACACAAAATTGCCCTTAGAGCCATGTGTGCTGTTGGTGTGTCAACAGTTCTTTTCTTTCTATCGCTGACTAGTATGCCATAGAGTGTCCGTGCTACGGTTTATTTAATCATCACCCATGAAGGACATCACGTACAGGTCTTCATTTTTTCTGGACTGAACACCCAGGTGTGCGGTTGCTGGGTCACGTGGTAGCTCCATGTTTGGTTTCTTGAAGGAACTGCCAGACTTCTGCAGAGTAGTTGAGCCATTTTGCATCCTTACATCCCCGCCAGCATTTGGTGTCGCTGCGTTTTTTTTTCATCTGTTCCGATAGTGCTAGTTTGCTGTTGTTTTAGTTTACATTCCCCTAATGGCCAGCGTGGGTGAACAGCTTTTTTGGTGGTTCTTGGCCACCTCAGTATCCTCTTTAATGAAATGTTCATCTCTTGCAGTCTCTCATTGAGTTATTTTTCTCATGTTGAGTTTTGAGAGTTCTTTATTCTTGATACTAGCCTTTTGTCAGATATGTGGCTTGTAAATACAGAGTTTTTCTTAGGCTGTGGCTTTTCTTTTCATCCTCTTATTAGCATTTTTTTTTACAGAGCAAGATTTTCATTTTGTTTATCAGTTTTTATTTTTATGAATCATGCTTTTGCGTCAAGGTTAAGAACTCTGTCTAGCTGTCAATCTTAAAGATTTCTTCCTAGTTTTTTTGTTTTGTTTTGTTTTGTTTTTGTCCTACAAAGTTTAATTTTAAACTTTTACATCCATTCTCCCATTTTGGGTTAGTTTTTGTAAAAGGTTGAAATTATTTTAAATGGTGAAAAATCAAGGCAAGGTTTTACACACTCATTTCTGTAATGCCCGTAAACTATTGATGTGCTGATACCAAAGTAGAATCAGTGGATAATTAGACTTTTTGTGAGGATTTTGCTGAGTTTGGTGTAGTAGCTTAAAGTCATTTTAGTATAGAAATTCACTCAAATGGAGTCTGTGGGGGTCAGCCCTCCCGAGCCCACCTGCCCACCTAAGGATGGACTCAGAAACGTGAAGGAAGTAAAGGGAGGTGTTTGTCCACCCGTCTCCAGTGCAGCGCCAGCAAGTGGAAGCAGGCACTGCCTCAGACGTCCATTCCTTTAGGCAGGGATCCCTTCCCCCCAGCTCTCGGTGGAGCAGCTCTGGAGTCAGGATCTAAAGGCCCTATGATGCCTAAAGCAAGGGGAGGGGGAGGGTACTGGGGGCTGGGCGTTGCTGGACAGGTAGGATTGGGGGGAGGAGGTTATACTCGGGTTGTTCATAAAGGAATGTAGGGGCTGGCCCTGGGGGTCAGCTGGTTAGGCCGCTGTCTGCAGTGCTGGCACCCCATATGAGCTCAGGTTCAAGTCCCAGCTGCTCCACTTCCAATCCAGCTCCCTGCTAATGTGCCTGGGAAAGCAGCGGAAGATGGCCCAAGTGCTTGGGCCCCTGCACCCATGTGGGAGACCAGGATGAAGCTCCTGGTTTTGGCCTGGTCCAGCCTGGCTGTTGTGGCCATTTGGGGAATGAGCCCAAAATCTCTCTCTCTCTCTCTTTTTCTCTCTCTCTCTCCCTGTAACTCTGCCTTTCAAATAAATAAATAAATCTTAAAAAAAAAAAAAAAAAAAGGACTGTAATTGCCTTGGAAACACAGCTTAGAAGCAGCCCAGCATTTGACACTATGAAGTCCAGCCCCAAACCCCAAGAGCCTTGCAGGTGGGCCCAGCCTTTCCCCAGGGAAAGACGTCTAGGGCAGTCTCCCCTGCTCAGCACCCTGTGGGCCACTCCGCCTGACGTGGGGCAGTAAGCCCTTCACAGCCTTCCCCCAAGGAAAGCACCCTAAGGGCATCGCTTCTGTCCTGCACCAGATGGGCTAGATGGTCTGGTTACACTGGGTAGTAAAATCTTGGAAGGAATTTTACCTAATCCACACTCAGCAAATCCTCTGGGGAGGAGGATGGAAGGGAAGGGAAATGGCAGGAAGAACTGGACCCCTTTCCCGTAATAGCCCCGGTCTAAATGTAAACTAGGCACTCTCAGATCCTGTCTGGAGAGAAGGATGGCCAACTCACCAAACCTTGCCACCCTCCAATCACTGCTCTCTGCCTCCCGGCTGAAGTCTTCCTTGCTGGAAGACAAGAACCTGTTCACTCAAACAGCTAAGTGAGCTCATCTGTTGATCTGCTTTGGGTTTCTTCCACTTGGCCCCCTTTGCGGCTGAGGACTGGGCTGTACGTAGGCTAAGCTAGGTTCTTATGAAAATAGATCACTGGGTGTCTTCTCACGTGTCCTTCCACCTTTGGTTGCTGAGTAGCTTTTGAACACATAAATCCTGGTTCTCACGGGGAGGCTGCCTGCTAGTCACCTTCCTGACTTGAGAGTGTGCGCAGTATGTGAGAATGGTTTGAGGGTCGCTGTTCAGTTTTATGATTTTGTAGGAGAGGGGAAGGTGTCAGAGATTAGGCTGTGTGAGTCACTGCGTACACTTAGCAGGTGTGTTAGACAGCAGTCCTCCATGCAGCCACGTCGCGGGCCTGGCGGGCACCAAAGGAAGGCGGGGCAGGGCCTCTGCAGTCCTGACGGGGAGGCCCGGCTCTGAGGTTAGACGTCAGCCTTCAGACCTTGGTTTAACGGCTCTGCTCTGTTCCTTACTCCCCTCATCTGTGAAATGGGTGTGATAGTTAAGTACCACCTCCTAAGATGGTTGTGCCGCTCACCTAGGCAATCACTTAGACCAGTGCCTGGTACACAGAGGGCACTCACTAGCATACAGCAGTTATTAGTCCCAAACAGTCAGTCTTATGTGAAGATGGGTGGGAAGTGGGTCATCTTTATGTAAAGGCATACACGGTTCGATTAGGCATAGGAGGCACAATTCAAATAGGTTATTCTACTTAAACATAAATGAGGCTCAGACAGATTGTGTGTGGTCAGCCCTCTGTGTCTGCAACTTCCACATCCGTGGATTCAGCTTGGATCAAGAGTGTCTGGAGATGAAACTGCATCTGCACTGGACACGTGCAGACTTTTTTCCCTGCCATGTAGCCCCTACACGTCATAGCATAACCGTTCACGTAATATTCACATTGGCACCCAGAGGTGATGTCGAGTTCCCCGGAGGAAATGGGTCGCTGTATGGGAGTTTGCCATTATGTGTATGGGACTTGAGCACCCAGGCAGGTTTTGATATCCATGGGTTCCTGGAACCAATCCCTACTCCCTCCCCCAGATACTAGGGGGCTGTTCTTGTATGGATACCCCCTTAGGCCACCCTCCAAGGGGCCACGAGGAGTGCTGCTCATTCACTTGTCCGAGATCTGTTTCCTTTCCAGGCTAGACGCGTCTCTGAAGTGTGTTCTGTCCGCATTGCTTCAGAGCCTCTTGGCCTGCCAAGGGCCTTCCGCCCACCAGGCTCTGTGGCTCTCTCCAAAGCTTGCTGTCAGCAGGCTGCCCCCTTCTCCAGCCCAGCATGGAAGGGCAGCTTGAGACGTCCCAACCTTGGAGTAGCCACGCCTGAAAAACGTGGTCACGGCAGTCCCCTGCTTTATTTGTGGGGATTTGTTCTCACCTTTGATTCCACAGATTGCTTTAAAAAGCAAGCAAACACCTGTAATTCTCAGATCCCAGCAGGCTGCTCATGGTCACTGGTTTCCGTGCAGGTGTCTGTGGCCTTCATCAGTGTTTTAGAGGACAGTGTGGTAAAGGAGGGTTGTGCCCAGTCACCACCGAAGCCGCCGCACGCCTGTCATCGCCATTTGTCCGTTAGCTGCCTGGCCTGCGAGCACTTGTGTTTGTAAAGGGTGAGTTTGGATCTGTATTTCCTCGCCTAAGGTTGACAGCCTTTCAATCCGATTTCCCATACTCACTTCTGTCAGTGAACCTGGGTCCCCTTAACTGAGAACCAGTCCATTTTCCGCCTGACATACTGACGTCCTTACCAGCGTTCACTTTAGTCTGTGCTAAGATGATCAAGCCATAGGAAATTACCCTTTTTGTAGGTTAAAAACAGTCAATTAGCAATTTCATTCTCATTGGTAGTAAAATTTAAGGACTTATAAATTTAATGACCCATAAAAAGATTATTGGAAGCATTTTTATTTCTACAGCATTGAAATAAAGATAATTCTACTTGTTGAAATGGGTAATATAGAATTATGCAAATGATACAGGGATGTTTCGGAAGTTTGTGGAAGGGCCAGTGTGTGGCACAGTTGGTTTAGCTGCCACTTGTGTCTCTGGCATCTCAGCTGCTCTGTCCAGTCCAGTTCTCGCTCACGTACCCGGGAAGGCAGTGGAAAGTGGTCCAATCGCTTGCGCCTCTGCCACCCAAGGAGGAGGACTGGATGGAGTTCCTGACTCCTGCCTTCAGCCTGGCCCGGCTCTGCTGCTGTGATCATCTGGGGAGTGAACCAGCGGATGGAAGATCTCTCTGTCTTTCCTTGTCTTTCTCTCTTTTTTTTTTTTTTTTTTGACAGGCAGAGTGGACAGTGAGAGAGAGAGAGACAGAGAGAAAGGTCTTCCTTTTGCCGTTGGTTCACCCTCCAATGGCCGCCGCGGCCGGCGCGCTGCGGCCGGCGCACCGCGCTGATCCGATGGCAGGAGCCAGGAGCCAGGTGCTTTTCCTGGTCTCCCATGGGGTGCAGGGCCCAAGCACCTGGGCCATCCTCCACTGCACTCCCTGGCCACAGCAGAGGGCTGGCCTGGAAGAGGGGCAACTGGGACAGAATCCGGCGCCCCGACCGGGACTAGAACCCGGTGTGCCGGCGCCGCAAGGCGGAGGATTAGCCTAGTGAGCCGCGGCGCCGGCCTCCTTGTCTTTCTCTTTGTCACTCTGCCTTTCACATAATAAGTGAACTTTTTAAAAGGTTTGTAGGAGGGGTCAGCTCTGTGGCTCAGCAGGTTAAAGCGCTGGCCTGTAGCGCTGGCATCCCATATGGGTGCTGGTTTGAGTCCCAGCTGCTCCACTTCCGATCCAGCTCCCCATTAATGTGCCTGGAAAGCAGTAGAAGATGGCCCAGGCCCTTGGGCCCCTGCACCCATGTGGAGACCTGGAAGAAGCTCCTGGCTCCTGGTTGTGGCCATTTGGAGAGTGAACTGGCAGTTGGAAGACCTCTCTCTCCCTCCCTGTGTCTCCACCTCTCTCTGTAACTCCTTCAAATAAATGAAAAATAGATCTTAAAAAAAAAAATGGTTTGTGGGAAAATGGAACGTAAGCATTATATTGATGCAAGGTGTCGCTCCCCCTCTTCATGGAGGAACGACACTAAGCCCTGCCTAGGCTTCATATCCGAGTCACGGCACCATTATGTCGCTCCCCCTCTTCATGGAGGAACGACACTAAGCCCTGCCTAGGCTTCATATCCGAGTCACGGCACCATTATGTCGCTCCCCCTCTTCGTGGAGGAACGACACAGGACCCTGCGCTGTTCTTTTGTCTGCTCGGCCCTCCCCGGGTTTGCTGCTGGTTCTTCCCGGGTTGGCTACTATCCCTTCCACCTCCGTGGAAGGGCGGTTCCCCCTGGCCACATTCCCCACTTCCGCAGGGGAGCGGCACACCGCCGGCCGGCTCTCTTCGGGGGCTGCACAGGTGTTCCCCTTAGATGTTCCTAGTGCATGCCGTCTCTCTCCTCCTTTATAGTCCTCCTCCGCCAATCCCAACTCTGCTACCCACACGCCGAGTACGCTGCTCTCCTCCAATCAGGAGCAAGTCCTACAGCTTGTCAAGTTGGTGAGAGGCAGCTGGGTAGAAGCTGTTTTCTCCTCTCCCAGCGCCATATTGTGGGAGAGCAGATGCATAGAATAAGTCTTAATTCCAGTAACTCAGTCCAGTCCGGATTGCTCCCCACACAAGGTAATTTAGCAATCCATGCATGATTTTTCTTAGTATGTATTTTTTGAAGACACTTTGTATGTATGGCCTTCAAAATTTCCACACCAAAATAAATTTATCTTTCAATTCTATTTCCATGAACTTCTGAGTTGCTTTTTGTATTAGTTAAAACCTAAAATATCTTCTTTTAATTTTTACTCATTTACTTATTTGAGAGAAAGAGACAGGTGGAGAGCTTTCACCTGAAGAATATTCCTCAGATGCCCGCAATGCCAGGCCGGGCTGACCTGAGGTGCTGAGGTCAGGAGCCGGGCACTCCAGCCAGGTCTCCCATACAGATGGCAGGGGCCCAAGTCCCTGAGCAGCCGCCTGCTGCCTCCAGGGTCTGCACTAGCAGGAAGCTGGAGTCAGGCGAGGAGCCTGATGTATGTATGGCCTTCCAGGCACTCCGATGTTCAGGATTTATGGCCCCTGACCACCAGGCCAAATGTCTGCTCCAAATACTGTTTTTTGTTTGTTTGTTTGTTTGTTTTGTTTTTTTGACAGGCAGAGTGGACAGTGAGAGAGAGAGACAGAGAGAAAGGTCTTCCTTTGCCGTTGGTTCACCCTCCAATGGCCGCCGCGGCTGGCGCGCTGTGGCCGGCACACCGCGCTGATCCGAAGGCAGGAGCCAGGTGCTTCTCCTGGTCTCCCATGGGGTGCAGGGCCCAAGCACCTGGGGCCATCCTCCACTGCACTCCCTGGCCACAGCAGAGAGCTGGCCTGGAAGAGGGGCAACCGGGACAGAATCCGGAGCCCCGACCAGGACTAGAACCCGGTGTGCCGGCGCCGCAAGGCGGAGGATTAGCCTAGTGAGCCACGGCGCCGGCCCAAATACTGTATTTTAAAGCATCAGTTTTACTGAGAAAAAACATTATTGTAGTAAACAAAATACAGTGGTGTGACAAAGGATACCAGATAGCTACCCAGGCTGTTGAAATGAGAGAGTTCACAAGGGAAAAGTCTCTCAATGATTTTATTTAACTCATTAATTAATTAGAGAAGTAGGCAGATACTCTTTTAAAGAAGTGAGGGAGGGCCGGTGCTGTGGTGTAGCAGGTAAAGCCGCCGCCTGCTGTGCCGGCATCCCGTATGGGCACTGGTTTGAGTCCCAGCTGCTGCTCTTCTGATCCAGCTCCCTGCTATGGTCTGGGAAAGCAGCAGAAGATGGCCCAGGTCCTTGGGCTCCTGCACCCAAGAAGCTCCTGGAAGAAGCTCCTGGCTTCAGATGGGCGTAGCTCTGGCTGTTGTGGCCATTTGGGGAGAGAACCAGCGGATGGAAGATTCTCTCTCTCTCTCTCTCGCTCTGTCTCTCTGTAATTCTGCCTTTCAAATAAATAAATAAATCTTAAAAAAAAAAAAAGAAAGAAAACAGGAAGAAGTAAGGAAACTGAGCTTCCATGGAGAAAGGAAATGGGTTTACTAATGGCAGCAACACTGGCTTTTCCCGTTCTCCCCGTGGTCTGCAGCAGGTGTCACTTGTGTGTCTGCAGATGAGGGGGTTTGCAGTGCTGTCAGGGCTGTGAGCTAGCTCAGAGGCAGGACGGGAGCTGCCCCCCCCCCGGCCCAGGTCAGCCTCTCCCCGGAGGCCCTGATGTTCCACCGACCGCATATCGAGGGAGCTCTGCTCACGCGGGAGCCTCCACAGTGCCTGCTTCTTCCCCTGGCATTGATCACTCGTATCCTCTGCTTTAAACTCCCTGACCAGCCCATACATTGTCATCTAATGTTCTAGGTAATGACCAAGGGTTCTTGATATTGGCATCTAGAGTTGGAGGTTAATCAGCATCAGCCGTAATATTGGTGGAGCCCATAGCAGTCTAACTTTAGGTTTCCATCTGAATTGAAGGTGAAGGTTAGTGAGCTAGGCCAGTGGCTCTCAACTGGGGCAGGTTTTCTCCGCAGGGGACATCTTTGCTTGTCAAAGTGTGGCAGGTGAGGCGGGAGTACCTTGGGCTTCTAGAGGGTGGAGGGTGGGGACGCTGCCGACAGCTCCCTTGTGACAAAGTCATCTGGCTCCAATGTCACGGTGCCAAGGCTGGGACTCCCTGACAGCCCCCCGAGAATTGGGAGGGCAAAGCTGAAGTGTCTGCTGTGGTGAATACAGAGCTTTATGTTCTTAAAGGGTACGCAAGCACGCGTCCCCTTGCTGCTTCCTAAAGGAGCGCCCTTGCTGCTACTTCCCATTTTAGAAATTCAGCAATCAGCACGACCTTTAACTTGGAGACTTAGTGATTTAATGCAAACACTTGTTTATATGCGTGTAACACTTGTAATTTTTAGTTATTTTTCCTATTTTAGGTTTTCCTGAAGAAACATCTTACAGATTTATGTTTTTTCTTAAGATATGAATATTGACAAGTTGAAGTTGTCTGCCTTCTCCTGAGATACATTTTGGAAGTCAGAATGATAGCTTCCTGTGAAGTTTTGGAACAGTTGTACAAGACAGTACTTCTGGGAGCCACACTCGAAAGTGACAGCCATGATTACATCTGTCATCTCACCCCAGCAGTGGCAGGTCAAGGCGGCCCCAGCACCACCTCCGCAGAGTGGTCGGACGCCTGTGGTGACCAGGACAGGCGTCAGCCATCCTCCGTCAGGCTGGCTCCTGTCCCCACAGCACCTGTGTGTTGGACGACAAGCTCACAGAGGAGCAGTGCCCGAGAGACAGTGCTCCTTCAGTTAACAGTGATCCAAGTGATGCTAGCCAGGGTGTTTTCCATCAGCATCGAGAGCCGCTCGAAGGAGAAGTACAGAGATGTAATCAAAACTCTCTTACAGTCAGCTGAAGTCGATTCAAAATTGGTAAGCTACTTGTTGTTTCTTTCAGAGACCTAGATATTTAAAATAAGAGGCTTAAAAACACTGAGCAGTAATGGTTAAATATATTTGTTTTCCTATAGATCTGTATGTTCCAAAACTCGGATAAATTGTTATCCCACATGGCCGCAAAGTGTCTTGCGTTGCTTCTGTATTTCCAATTGAGAGAAAAGGTGAGATAAGTTACCAGATTTGGTTATTATTTCTTTATAGCTTCTTTAAAATTTCATCCTGCAGATAATGTGTAATAATATGTTTGCTCACATAATAATGTGTCAATCCACAAAAATGTAAGAATGGAATAGTGCGATAGTGGCTTCTGTCAAGGATTAGTCTTGAATATATTATAAATCATAATAAATCAGATTTTTTTTTTTTTTTGACAGGCAGAGTGGACAGTGAGAGAGACAGAGAAAGGTCTTCCTTTTTCCGTTGGTTCACCCCATAATGGCTGCTGCGGCCAGCGTGCTGCGCTGATCCGAAGCCAGGAGCCAGGTGCTTCCTCCTGGTCTCCCATGCGGGTGCAGGGCCCAAGCACTTGGGCCATCCTCCATTGTACTCCCGGGCCACAATAGAGAGCCAGACTGGAAGAGGAGCGACCAGGACAGAATCCGGTGCCCCGACCGGGACTAGAACCCAGTGTGCTGGCACTGCAGGTGGAGGATTAGCCTATTGAGCCACAGTGTCAGCAATAAATCAGATTTTTAACCTGAGGAATGAATTTCACATCAAGGAGTCTATAGTAGGTAGGCTACCCTGCCCCCAAAAGAGGTTTAAGAACCTTTATCTTGGCCAAGCCCATTTTTCACTGGTTTATATAAATACATTTAGAGAGTGGCTCCCAGCATAGTGAAAAACAAAAGTAACAATTTAAGAATCAGATTTCTTTCCTACGTCTGATTAGCTAATAAAGATAAGCATATGCTCACTTATTTCAGTTATAGTTGCTTTTTCTTTCTTAAAACAACTATTTTTCTGAATATAAAAGTGATGATTTATAGTAGAAAGCTTTAAAACTGGACCAAAGTATAAAGAACAGAAAGAAAGCACACCATTTTACAGAGTACACATAGCAGTGCTAACCTCCTGTCTTTCCTTCTGATCCTTTAATTCTATGGCATACTGAGTGGCGTGGCTTACAGAATATTGGACTGTTTCTTGTTTTACCACAAATTATCATACTTTTGTTGGACAAATCAGTAAACAATGTTCGATATGTACTATGTATCATGAGTAATTTGTAATTGCAAAGAAGATACCTATTATAAACACCTTTTTTATTTTCTCACTGTAGATACCATTAAGTGATTCTTGGATTGCTTTTTGCCAAAAACATCTTTCTGAATACCCGGAGAGTGACAAAGCAGTATACTGCCTCTCTACCCTTACAGTAGTAATAAAAGAAATCTTGAAAGATACAAGCTCACAAAAAACAGGTACGAATTGTGTTGCCCCATAAACAATCATCTCACTCCCAAGAGCATGATACTTATAATGAAGAATAAAATTTACATTACACCTGATCTGTCTTAAACTAGGAAAAGCTAAAGAATCTCTCCATAATTTTGATTGAGGATATATTTTTTTAAAAGAAAAAAAGTTACCAGGGAAAAATGAAAGTTTTTCCTTATGATGTGTGCCTTGCGTAGTCTAATTCTCTTGGTGTTTGTCAAATAGATGTTAGCCATGGTTATTAGCTGTTTGTCTGTATACCCTCATCTGTTCATGCCAGACATAAATATTCCATATCAGTTTTTTCACCTTATAAAAATGGTATTTATAAAAGCTGAACTGTAAATTTGGGTTTCACCAAGTTGTTTTTCCTGTTGGCCACAGTCACTGTTTTTTTTTTTTTTTTTTCTAACTGCAGAAATTATAAAGCAGCTCCTGACCCCTTTGGACACGACTTTTGAAGCATTCTATAATTCTGTATTTTCTCAGCATTTTGAACGCTGCCGAGACACTTCTAAAGTAACAAACAGCTTGATGAGCTTCCTGGGGTTGCTGGAGCTGCTCACCGCCTCCGGCGTCTACCTGCAGGCGCGTTTCGCCTGCCAGAGGGTCGTGCTTCTGAAGCCCTCTTGCATGCTGGGCGTCATGACCTGGCCAGTGCAGGCTTTTGTCAAGAGGCAGCTCATCATACTCATCAAGAAATGCCTTCTCTGTAAAGCGGGTGAAGACCTGTGCCGGGGACCCGTGCCCGCTTTCTTGTCGCCGGGCCACCCTGCAGACGCCGACACGCTGGCCCTAGCTGATGCCGTTTTGCGGGCGGTGGATCTGGGGTTGTTGAAGAAGTTGTCTGCTCGTGGAAAACCGTCCTGCTTTGGAGGTGACAAGGTTCAGCCCCGAGGGGAGCGGATCTGCGCTCCAGATTACGTGATCCTCAGAGCAGTGAGCTTGGTTCTAATGAAATCCCTGGAAGTCAAGTTTCAGAATTGCACTTCAGCAAATGAAATGAAAGGTAATTCTTCTGAAATCCCTTTTTATGCAAACTACTACGTAATTATCTACTTAAATACTTCATAATTGTCAGCTCTCAGAGCTGGTATAAATTCTACTAATGTAAGCTCTGTGTTACCCTAATTATAATTCATTAATTTTTCTTCCAAAAAAAGAACAAGAGCTGGAATTCCCTTAAAAAACACATCTGCTTTTTGTGAGTTAATGCTGAATTTGTATGGTGTAATGGACCGCGGTTTTCTTTTTTGTTTGTTTTTTAAGATTTATTTATTTATTTGAAAGGCAGTTACAGAGAGAGAAGGAGAGACAGAGAGAGAGAGAGAGAAGTCTCCCATCCGATGGTTCACTCCCCAGTTGACCACAACAGCCAGAACTGCGCCCGTCTGAAGCCAGGAGCCAGGAGCTACTTCCGGGTTTCCCATGCCGGTGCAGGGGCCCAAGGACTTGGGCCATCTTCTACTGCTTTCCCAGGCCATAGCAGAGAGCTGGATTGGAAGTGGAGTAGTCAGAACTCGAACTGGTGCCCAGATGGAATACTGGCACTGCAGGCGGCGGCTTTATTCACTATGCCACAGCACTGGCCCCAATAACAATTTTCTTAAAAATTACTGTTGGGAAAAGCATTTGGCACAGCTGTTAAGACACCACATGGGGCTGGCGCCGTGGCTCACTAGGCTAATCCTCCGCCTTGCGGCACCGGCACACCGGGTTCTAGTCCTGGTCAGGGCGCCGGATTCTGTCCCGGTTGCCCCTTTTCCAGGCCAGCTCTCTGCTGTGGCCTGGGAGTGCAGTGGAGGATGGCCCAGGTGCATGGGCCCTGCACCCCATGGGAGACCAGGATAAGTACCTGGCTCCTGCCATCAGATCAGCGTGGTGCGCCGGCCGCAGCGTGCCGGCCACGGTGGCCATTGGAGGGTGAACCAACGGTAAAGGAAGACCTTTCTCTCTGTCTCTCTCACTGTCCACTCTGCCTGTCAAAAAAAAAAAAAAAAAAAGAAACCACATGGGATACCCACGTTCCATGTCAGAGTGCCTGGGTTGTTGTCCTGGCTCCAATCCCAGCTTCCAGTGTGCACCCTGGGAGGCAGCAATGATGGCTGAAGTTCTTGGTTTCCTGCCACCCATGTGGGAGACCTGGATTGACTTTCAGCTCTTGAGTTCAGCCTGGCCCAGCCCTGGCTGTTGGCAGGCATTTGGGGAGTGAACAAGTCAATGGGAGAGATCTTTGTGTGTGTCTGCCTTTTAGAATGAATGAATGAATAAATAAATCAATAAAATCTTTAAAAGTTGCTGTTGAGTCACCTCCAAGGAAGTGATAGAAATCAAGGTTATTCAGATACTTAGAGTATTTTATGTCCTTCACAAAGTTGGTGTACTTACTGGTGTGATTGCTGACCATTAGAAAATGAATTGAAGCGAATGTGTGAAGCTGCATAGAATTTCCAGGGTGGCAGGTGGGAAGGTGGAAGGAAGCGTGATTCCCAGCGCCGCTGTCGCTGTCGGGAGAGGCGTGTCCTGCATTTCCTTTCAGAATGTGGAGTAGCAGGAAGCACCCCTGCCCGCCGCCTGCGGATGCAGCGCGAAGTCTGAGCTGGAGCCCTGGCTGCCCTTAGCTGTTAGCCAAGGTCTCAGGCTGCGCAGTTCTAGTTCACAACACTAGGTGGCATCTGTCACATAACTCAGAGTTAGTAGTGATTAAAACTCCAGAAAACTTTTTAAAAAAAATGTTGTGCTTAATAGTACTTTAAACAGACAGAAAATAGATATCCTGTTATTTTGAAGGGAAAATTGTTTTTGTTTGGTTACAGTACTGCCTCTGGTAACAGACAGCGGTGACACCCGATGAAATATTCTCTTGTCTGCCCAGTAGGCTGTGTTAACAGAAGTGGATTTGCTTTTATTTCTCCGAGGTAATAAGTCATTTGGCAGTGATGGTGAACAGACAACCTAACTGTGCCTTTTAGATGAATGTTCTTGGATAAGTCACTTTTTTTCCCTCCAAGTCTCAGTTTTCTCGTTTGCAAAGTAAAGCTGACCCCTAACCGACAAGCCTTTTTGAATGTGTGTATGAGGCCCCTTGGGGCAGGCTGTGGGGAGCGTCTGTAACTGAGTCTCGCGTCTCTAAGCGGCTCTGCGGAGGTTCATGTCTGAGCTCCTGGCGTTCCTGAGGCCTCACCTGCCGCCCTCGCTGCACGGCCCCTGTGAGTGGCTGCCGAGAGTCTTCATAGAGCAAGATGATGACATGCTGGAGGCTGCCAAGGCGGCACTGGGCATCTACGTGAAGCTGACCAGGTCGGTGGGCCACCTGCGAACCAGAAAGCAGGTGGTGTTTCTGAAGATGTGCGGGGCGTGTCATCCGCGTCCATCATTTGCGGTGGGGTGGGGTGGGGGGGCCATCTTGTAGCTTGCCGTTCCTTTAGCTCTGCCTCACATGGAGGTGCACACACTCGCGTTGCTCTGAGAACGTGGCTGGCTGGGCAGCTCTCAGGTACCCGAACCAGCCTGGGGTCTGAGAACCTGGCTCCTGCCTTAGCCCCCACCTGTTTCACCTGGTGATCAGGAGGAAGCTAGGACCCGCCCCCACGAACTGATTGACATGTAGAGTGCTGGTTGCCTCAGGACTCACTTCTCTGTGTTAAGCTTCTGTCAGATAATGTCTGCCTTTTAAAGGTGAGCACAGGTTTGTAAATAATCAAAGGAACTGTTCCAATTTTTGTTTTAATGTGTAGTTGAATTTGGGCAGATAGCATATTGAGGCAAATATCTGAAATTGGCTTATAAAGTCATGTGACCCATGAGGTTTTCTACAGGTTCTGTTTCTGCTTTATTGCAGCAGCTGTACTCAAGCTAATATCTTCTTGTGGCGAATAACTGTGATTGCTTCTGAAGTTAACACTGATGACCCCTTCCACCATTTCTGCTTCCACTTTATTAAAGCCCTAAAGTATTTGCTTTATTTCCATTTCTTTCTTGGCATGCGAGGAAGGGATTTCTTCCTAATGACTGGCGGCGCGGTGCTGAGCTGCCAGCGCGGACTTGTGCCGTGACACTGCTGGCAGCGGCTGCTCTCGGCCTGGAAGTGTTTGGGGCCAGTTTTCAAAAGGTTCTAATCAGGAACACAAAACTCCTGCATGTGATTTGAATTAGGCTCCGAAACGGTCAAACACAAATTCAATCCGAAAATGCACATGCCTGCAAGAGCGTATCTTAATTGCGTTCAGAGTTGGCTTCCTGCTGCCCGGCAGAGAGAAAGCCCCTGGATCTAACTTGCTGTGTGTGTGGATCTCACTTTCTGGACTGCAGTTCAGCGTGTCCAGAGAGGCATGTTCTCATGGCATATGTATTTTTTTTAATATAGTAGTATCAAGTTTTTTGGTTGTAAACTATAAAAACCAACTCAGTGTTTAAGCTAACAGCAGCACTTGGGGCTTGTATTTGGGAATCCTAAGAGGCCAAGTTGGCATCAAGTGTGCACAGGGACTCAAGGCACCCCATCGATGGTGTCTCTTCCTCCATCTCACAGCTGAGGGGCCACCAGTAGCCTGCTGTGACAGTCTGGCAGTTACAGTGTTTCGTGGCACCGGCCAGAGTCCCCACAGGAATCAGAGATGCTTGACCGAAAGCCCTGTGGGCAGGAGCAGGAGTGTTCCAATTGGTCCTTCCAGGTCATGTGCCCTCGGCTACTCAGGAAGCTGAGGAAGGAGGCTGAGGCTCCAGCCCCTGCCCGAGAGAATGAGGACTCCAGTGCTGGGGAAAGGATGCCTTGTCGCGCAGACAAAAACTAGGGCGACCCAAGTCGGTGGGTGTTCTTTTGTTGCGTCAGATTTCTTTATGATTTGTTGGGAAAGGTATTGGTTTTGGAAGTGTTTGCTATTTGAGTGTTTAGATTTAAAAGTAATCCCATAGGTGAACTTATGTTATGCAGATTCTCGCAGTTAAAAGTCGTTTTTATTAAAGTTATTGACCTGGGTTCTCCATGGTCGTCATTTCAGAGAACACGAAGCCACTGAACGCCTGGCCCCAGGAGAAACGTGGGATCGTCACATGCATGAGAACGGCTGCAATCCACACTGCATTTTCTTATTCTTCTTAAAAAATGTGGGATTTGATGCTTCAGTTCTTCTTGACTTCCTGATTTCATCAGAAACTTGTTTTCTTGAATATTTTGTCAGGTATTTAAAACTGCTGCAAAAAGAATGGGATAATTTCTTCACCATTTGCAAGTCCTTTGACGGAACTGCACCTGAACCCGCCATGAATTCCTGTGGTCGTGTCCCCTCACTTGCCCAAGGCACAAGCTGCAGCCAGGCAGCACCCCCCCAAGTGACTGCTCTTAATAGTCACGGCAGGCCTTGCGCGTGGCTCTGCAGGACTTCTGGTGCATCTTGTGAACCCCTGAGCCAGGCCGTGACCCCCAAGGAGACCTGCACCATGCAGGCTCACCGGCCGTCTTCCCCACAGGTCGCTCCAGGTCTGGTAGATTATGACAGCTCTGATGATTCTGAAGTGGAGTGCACAGGCCAGAGCGTAGCCAACAGCAAGCAAGCGTCTTTACACCCTGCAGCAGTCAAGGCAGTCCAGGACACAGCTGGCACAAGTGCTGGTCAAGAGCTGAGCCGAGAGACTCCGGCAAGGCCCCCGCTTCCAAAGGGATCCGCCACTTCCTTCTCCACTGACTGTGAGGCGCCCCCCAAAGATACTGCCTCTGAAGCAGGACTGTTTCACAGAACAGTAAAATGCTTCAGAGAGCTGCAGGGTGCCATTTACCGTTTGCAGAAGAAAAGTCTTTTCCCATATAATGCAACTGCACTTCTGAGGCTGTTAAAACATGTAGAGGCAATGTATGATAAAAGTATGGTCGCTTTGGGAAATAGTGGCATCTTATCTCCAGGAACTGTTTTTCCTTAATAGTATAAATTGTGCTTCAATGAGATAATTATGTTCTTTAAAAAACCTCTGGGGGCAAGTGTCATGGGATGCCCACATCCCGTATGGGAGTGCTGGTTCTGGTCTGACCTGCTCCGCTTCCAGTCCAGCTTTCTGCATTAGAATCTGGGAGAGCAGCACTCAGTGGCCTGAGGACCTGGGTCCCTGCTCCCCGAGTGGGCGACCCAGATGGAGTTCTGGGTTCCTGGCTTCAGTGTAGCCCAGCCCCAGCATCTGTGGGCCTTTGGGGAGTGAACCCGTGAGTAGATTCTCTCTCTCTCTCTCTCTTACTCTATCTCCATTCCACGTCTTTCCACCTCTCTCCTTCCGTCCCTCCCTCTCTGTCTGGCTTTCAAATAAAACTATAAATACTTTTTCAGTAAAATATTTTTTTAAAAATAAATCAGTAACCACAAAAGATTTTCTCAATAGAGTTCTTTTTTCTTAATTGGAAGCAGCCTAATGACTGGAAAACATGAAATGACATCACTTTATATAGTTGTCCATCACTTGGAGTGACAGCTACTGTGGTAGTTCAGACTTGTACAGCATTTGGGGTGGTCACTGTATTAGTTTCCTAGGGCTGCCATAAGAAATTAACACGTATTGGCTGGCATAAAACAACTTCAATTTCTTCTCTCACACTTCTGGAGGCCGGAAGTCCAGGACCAAGGTGAGAGCAGGGTCACACCTCTGCAGCCTGCGGAGAAGAATCCTCGCCTGACTCTCCCTGGGTTGTGCTTGACAGCAATCCCTGACGTCCCTTGGCTCGTGGCTGCGTCGCTCCAGTCTCTGCCCCACGCGGCGTTTCCCTTGTGCACATGTCTTTATCCAATGTTCCCCTTCTAGGGACCCTAATTAAAAAAAAAAAAAAAAAAACAAAAAAAACAACCATGGAGCAGCAGGGACACAAACTGGCACCCATCCATGATGCTGGCATCAGGCGGCAGCTTCAGCCCCAGTGTTCCTGTTTAAATTGTGATATGGGGGTGGGTGTTTGGCACAGCAGTTAGGATACTACTTGGATGCCCTCGTCCCCTATCAGGGCACCGGCTAGTTCTAGTCCTGGGTCAACTCCCAATTCCAGCTTCCAGCTGTGTACACCTTGGGAGGCAGCAGGTGGTAGCTCAAGTGATTGGGTTCCTGCCTGACCCACATGAGAGACCTGAATTGAGTTCTGAGCCCCAGGCTTGGGCCTGGCCCAGCCCTGGCTGTTGCAAACGTTTGACGGGGGTGAACCAGCGGTTGGAGGGTCTGTCTCTGTTTTGCTGCCTTTCACACAAATTAATTAAAAAGTAAGCTGTGATATAATTACTCCTTCTGCTCTCCTGCCTTCAAGATGGACTCTTGTCTGGAGCCAGCCTTGGAAACAGCAGAGCCTTCTCAAGGAAAGGTCACACCCCCTTTCTCAGGGAAAGGTGAGCCTTTCAATACGTGTGAACGCCGTGTAAGTCGCTGTTTGGCTGTTTTGTTTAGGGAATGATGACAAGGAAAGAAAGTCTGTACATATTCCGTACGGACACAGTTTCTTTTTCCAGATCTTCACTCCTTGGGTGGTTGAGTCCATGGATGTGGGACACAGGAGCACGGAAGGCTGACTGCTGTTGTGTGGTTACGGAATTTGTGAGAATGTACGAGAAAGTCACCATGTGGTCGCCTCAGGAGACAGGTCTGAGGTGGAAGACTGAGTGCTCGTAGCTTTCTGTATTCTATTAAGCCGGGGGCATATTTTTTCATAAAAAAAATTTTTTGAGACAAGAAAACCATTCCTGGAGGACATAAATGTTGCTTGTGGTGTAAGTGCAGTGTAACTCTTGCTTACGCAGACACGGCCTTTTCTATAATGTGACTGAGGACCCGTCAGCCCCTCGTGGGATGTAAAATGAGGGGAAAGCTTATCTTAGAGGTGGGTGCTGGTGTGTCAGAGTCTGTGTACAGCTGACCCCAGTTTATCTCACAGTAAGCCCTGCTGCTGCCAACCGTGTCCGAGGCTGTGAGGGGACTCTTGTCGGCCCTTCAGCCCATCCCTGGGCTGTTCTATCTGCTGGCTCATTCCCCAAATGGCCACAATGACCAGGGCTGGGCCAGCCAGGAGCCTGGAACTCCTTCGGGGTCTCCCATGTGGGAAGCAGGGGCCCAAGTGCCTGGACCTTCTTCCACTTTCCTCCCAGGTGCATTACTGGAAAGCTGGTTGGGAAGTGGAGCAGCCAGGACTTGAACTGGCACTATTATGGGAAGCCAGCATCCCAGGCGGTGGCCTAACTCACTGCGCCACCACACCAGCCCCTGTTTTTTTGTTTTAACGTAGAGCGCCAGTGATACAGAAGAGAGCACGCCTGAGTGTATGGCTCAGAATTCTCAGAGTGCACCTGTGGGGCCGGTACCCAGCTGGCGACACCAGTGGCATCTCACAAGCCCGCTTGGCTCCCCTGCAGTCACTGTCCCCCTCAAGGTAGATGCGTCCTGAATTAAGACTTTACCTTCACCTGGCCTTGTCCTTGCATAAATGGAACCCTGGGGAGTGTACTCTTCCTGGCATCCTCTATGGAGCATTACTTGGGAATGTGTTCTAGTTTATTTTCTAAGTGGCAGGTAGCCACATTTCGGCTGTGATTAGTGATACTTTACTCGTGACTCCTCACGATTATCTGTGACACACCTGGTGGACGGGCCAGGACAGCGAGGCTGACAAACACTGCTTGAACAATAGTTTGCACTCCAACAGGTTGTGCAGGGCCTTGTGCAATCGGCCCCAGCCTGCTCCCCAGCCTCACCCGTGCTCCTCCCCGACCCACGCCTCGCAGCAGCACAACCTTTTGTTCTTACGTATTGCGTCGACCAGCCCAGCTTCCAGGGAGATCTGGGAGGCCTTCCCAAGTGTCGTGAGCGTCGGATTTTAGGGGCCTTGTATCTCCACACTTTGCACTTCCTGTAGCAGCTGTCACAGGATATCCGGGTCACTCCTCCACAGTCTGTCCATCGGCCAAGCTCGTTTTACATTGCCCTGGTGAGCAGCATCTGTCACATCACAGGCACACCACAGCGATGAATAAAGAACAGAGCCTTCTCCGGGGACTTGGGACTCTGTGGGAGACAGGTGTGCAGGGCGTTAGCCCCTGAACAGGACACTGCGCCTCTCAGCTGCTGCCTCTGCTCTCAGTGCCCTTCTCATCCTCCCGGGAGTGGCGGAAGGTGGGTATTTCGTGATCCCAGTTTGGCCAATGAGATTACGTAACCATCCCAAGATCACCCAGCTGGTGAGGGCATGAGTCAGGTAGTCTGGTTCCATCCTCATTCTTCTCTCCATAATTTATTCCCTGCCTTCAGGGCAGAAGCTAATGGAAACGCACTGTGAAAACTAAGTGGTTGCAGCTTTGGCTATGTGCGGTGGCTGGCATGGAAGTCACCCGGGAAAGGTACATGGAAGGGGCCGGCGCTGTGGCATAGCAGGTAAAGCCGCCGTCTGCAGTGCTGGCATCCCATATGGGCGCTGGTTCGTGTCCTGCTGCTCCACTTCTGATCCTGCTCTCTGCTATGGCCTGGGAAAGCAGTGGAAGATGGCCCAAGTCCTTGGGCCCCTGCACCTGCATGGGAGACCTGGAAGAAGCTCCTGGCTCCTGGCTTTGGATCAGCGCAGCTCTGGCCTTCGTGGCTGTTTGAGGAGTGAACTAGCAAGTGGAGGATCTCTCTCTCTCTCTCTCTCTCTAACTCTGACTTTCAGATTAATAAATAAATCATTTTTAAAAATATATTTTAAAAAAATAAAGTACATTGGAGTCAGATCACCCAAGACCTACGGTGCCCAGAGCTGGGGACTTCTGACTGCTCTGGCAGTGGAGAGCTGAGGAGGGTTTTAAGTGATGAAGAAAGTAGCTACATGGACACACAAAAAGATTGGATACCTGCTGCACCATGTCTACAGCAGCACTGTTCACAGTAACCAAAACACAGAGCTAACCAAGGGGTCCGTCATGATGTGAATGGATAAAGAAAATGCGGTAGTGCACACCACGGACTATTATTCAGCTGCAATAAGAGTGAGATTCTACCATTTGCGGCAAAGTGGTTGGAACCGGAAGACATCAGGCTCAGTGAAATAAGCCAGACACAGGCCGGCGCCGCGGCTCAATAGGCTAATCCTCCGCCTAGCGGCGCCGGCACACCGGGTTCTAGTCCCGGTCGGGGCGCCGGATTCTGTCCCGGTTGCCCCTCTTCCAGGCCAGCCCTCTGCTGTGGCCAGGGAGTGCAGTGGAGGATGGCCCAGGTGCTTGGGCCCTGCACCCCATGGGAGACCAGGAAAAGCACCTGGCTCCTGGCTCCTGCCATCGGATCAGCGCGGTGCGCCGGTCGCAGCGCGCCGGCCGCGGCGGCCATTGGAGGGTGAACCAACGGCAAAGGAAGACCTTTCTCTCTGTCTCTCTCTCTCACTGTCCACTCTGCCTGTCAAAAAAAAAAAAAAAAGAAATAAGCCAGACACAGAAAGAAATACTGCATGTTCTCCCGTGTGTGTGGGAGCTCAACTAGAGGAGGAGAAATCCCCTCAATATGAACCCGGTATGTCGATTACTAGGGGGTGGGAGAGGCCAAGGGCACTTGGATTTTAAAAAATAGGGGAAGCTGGGTGTGGCTCTCTTTCCGTGACACAGAGCAGCACGGAACGTTCGCGGGAAATGGGGCACACGGGGACTCGTAGGACTACCTTGCAATTTCTGTTTTGTGAATTGAAAATGAATAATAGGAAAAAAGATTAGACAGTGTATCGCAGACAGAAGTTTTCTGGGGAATCTGATAAACCCAAGAGAAGAAATCTAAACATAATGACATGGGAAGATGCCCAAAGACATTACTCAGCCAGATCACGACTGGGCAGCTCGCAGTTGTAAACCTCAGCATGTGCACAGAACTCCTAATTCTCTTCGTTAGTTCTGTTTGAAAGGCAGAGAGAACCTCCATCTGCTGGTTCACTCCCTGAATGCCCGCAACATCTAGGGCTGGGCCAGGCCGGAGCCAGGAGCCAGGAGCTCCATCTGAATGTCGGACATGGTCAGCAGGGACCCAAGCACCTGATCGTGGCCTGCCAGTGCCTGAAGCAGCATCTTAACTTTGTGCCAAACACCACCCCCTAACTGGCATTTAAGTTTCCTACTCTGCCACATGGGTGAACAGCCAGGGATCATCAGGTACTTGGGGAAAGTCTCTAACATGAAAAATAAACAGGGAACAGATTAAACCAGGAGGAGGTTAATCTACTGACACCCTCAGCGATAAGACGATACGTCTAAGAGTACTAAGTGGAGGCTGTTAACAGTACGATAGCACAAATGAAAAGGCTCCATGGATGCGGTAAGGCTGAGCCGAGAACACTGCGGAAGTAAGTGCAGCAGCGGGACCCTGTGCGCAGGCGTAGCGAGAAAAGGAGCACACAGCAGGGAGGCAGGGGCTGTGCCTGGAACAGGAGCATTTTTTCCTGACAGCTAAGATGCTACCGCTGTGTGGGGGAACCGGGCAGCAGGAAGTGTTGCAAGGGCGAAAATGAGTTCAGTTTTCACCTGGGTGACTTCAGGCAGCGTCATGTGCACGCGGTGACGCTCAGCGGACAGACACCCTCTGTTACAAACTGGAAGAGCAGCACCCGAACAAGCTACGGGAGTCACCGACACCCACGAAATGCACAGCGTGGAGGAGGCTGCCGCAGCCCTGAGAGGACAGAGAAAGGCCTGCACAGAGAACGGGGCGAAATAAGTTAGAGGCCGAAGAACCGTGTTGTGGAGAAGGCATGTGGTGCAGTTCAGTGTCTCCAGGGGAACAGTTAGAAGAAGCCGCGCAAGTCTGATTCTTAGGAAGCTGCTGGTGCTGTCCGAGACAGGTGCACACAGGGCAGTGGTTTTCAACTTGTGGTCTCTGGACCACCTGAAGAGTGGGATTTGGGGTAAGGCCTTTGAAATAGCAGAAAGGAGGGGTGGAAACAGTGGCACCAAAGCAACACCGGGTGTGAGCAGGATCCCCGTGGGTGTTGCCAGTGACATGCACGTCTGAGGCACTGACGTGGCCTGTGGCCTTTCCGCCCACGTCTTCCTCAGAGCGTCTGGGCTGCACCTGCCCCTTCATGACGGAACCCAAGGGGCTGCTTTAAGCAAATTGCTGCCCAGATGTTTGGAAATGTGACCTAAATATTGAACTTTAATTGGTTGATTATCATGTATGACAGCATTTGTGTAAAGTTGTCTTGCTTTATTAAAATGCTCATTTGTAAACTGTAGTTGGTAAAAACAAATGCCTTTTCTCATTAAAATTATCATTGGTCAGACTAATAAACCAATTCTGATTTTCCTGATTATTCTAGGGAAGGCGAAGGTGAGCTCAGATCAGTCTTAGTTAACGTCATGCCCTCCTGATGGCAGAGCTCACTAGCAGTGACAGAGAGGGCTCCCATCCGTGCTTCACGCTGCATGACTACCGGGCTGGACCAGGAACTCTGAGTCTGCTGTGTGGGTGGCTGGGACCCAGATACTTGAGCCACCAACTCTGCTTTCCCCAGCACACTAGCAGAGAGCTGGATCAGGGGCAGAGCAGCTGGGGACGCAAACAGGTACACTGATGTGGGGTGCCAGTGCCGGGTTAACCCACTGCACTACAGTGCCAGCCCTGGTATATATACTTTTTTTTGACAGGCAGAGTGGACAGTGAGAGAGAGACACAGAGAGAAAGGTCTTCCTTTTGCCGTTGGTTCACCTTCCAATGGCCACCATGGCCGGCGCGCTGTGGCCGGTGCACCGCGCTGATCCGATGGCAGGAGCCAGGTACTTCTCCTGGTCTCCCATGGGGTGCAGGGCCCAAGCACTTGGGCCATCCTCCACTGCACTCCCTGGCCACAGCAGAGAGCTGGCCTGGAAGAGGGGCAACCAGGACAGAATTCGGCGCCCTGACCGGGACTAGAACCCGGTGTGCCGGTGCCGCAGGTGGAGGATTAGCCTAGTGAGCCGTGGCGCCGGCCATGATCCACTTCTAATTTTGTGGTTGACATTGAGCTTACCAAGAAGTTGACTTAATGGTGGCCCAGTTAATTACTGCACTGGGTAAAATACATGTTTGTGCATTCCTTGCATTATGTGTGTCTTCCTTTTCAGGACTTTTGCTTTGTTTTAAAAGTTGTCTAGGGGCTGGCACTGTGGCATAGTGGATAAAGCCGCTGCCTGCAGTTCTGGCACCCCATATGGGCACCAGATCGAGTCCCGGCTGCTCCACTTCCGATCCTGCTCGCTGCTATGGCCTGGGAAGCAGAAGATGGCCCCAGTCCTTGGGGCCCTGTACCCATGTGGGAGACCGGAAGAGGCTCCTGGCTCCTGGCTTCGGATCAGCACAGCTCTGGCTGCTGCGGCCATCTGGGGAGTGAACCAGCGGATGGAAGACCTCCCTACCTCTACCTCTGCCTCTGCCTCTGCGTAACTCTGCTTTTCAAATAAATAAATAAATAAATCTTAAAAAAAGTTGTCTAATATTTAGAAGCATTGAGAAATGGACTGTGATCTATGTATGATTTCTTTTATCATAAGAAAGGCCCAGGTGTTGGCAGGTCCAGCTTGAGACGAGGGCCTGCCGATTGTTGAAGGCGGTGGAGTCTAAAACACGGGTTTACATTACAGCTACTTTCTAAAGGTGCTGACTGGGAAATAAGCGCTCTAAGCCTCCTGACACTTTGCTCCTGGAGACCCAGGAAGTGGCCACACCAGCAGCATTATGACTGCCGCTGGCTTCATTGTTTTAAGTTAGTCAATGCGCTATAATGAAGGGGCACTGAACTGTTTGCTTAGAAGGGGAAAGTACGTTTGCCATCTGCAAGTCACTGGGTATTTTTGTTTTTCTGTAAAATATGAAACGGTAGTATAGCCTGTGTGTGGGAATCAGAACTGGATCTCTGACCCATTCATTTTCCTATCAGTTGTCTTTTTTCCCCCAGGTTTTATGATTTTTCTCCTTAAAAGGTATCCCTTAGACAGCTGACAGGCAGATGGCTGTGGTTCCCGTCACCGTCTTTGCTTGTATGTGGCACATGCTGTCTTCCGCGGGTGTCACCTGGTGTGTACAGGGAATGCTCTGAAGGTGACATGGAGGGAAGATGAGCGATGACCCGGAAAGTAACAGGAATTGGCAAGGCTCGCGCATCCAACAGGTGAGTTTGACTGCCACTTAATAACGGCATCAGAGTCACATTTGGGAGGGATCGCAGGCAGCTGGAGTCTGAAAAGTTGCCCGTCAGCCCCTCTCCCGGGAGCTGGGCTGTGGGATCGGAGCTGCCCAGCGCTCACAGCTCCTGGCTGGCAGGGCTCTGGAGAGGTGATTCTCCTCACAGGACCCTCAGGAGTAGACAGGCAGTACGGCTGCCTCCAGCCAGGCTGCGTCGTTCCACTCGTCACAGGCCACCGGTGAGAATCCCTCTGCGGAAGGCTGGTGGACACACACAGCAGCCCGCCACTGGGAATCTGACAGCAGCACAGGCGCTGGGCGACCCTTCTGCCATCTGGGTCCACTTGCTGCCTGTCCTACTGCAGGTGCTGGTGGAAAGCCCACTGTAGTGTCATGTCAAGAGAAGAATGCACTGGGATAAGCCAAGGCCAGGCTTCGGGGCTCCACCATTTATTACGTCACTTTTAATCTAAACGTTTTGGTGTGATTGTGTTTTTTTTCTTTTGGTCTGATCATTTATAAGCACCATAATGAATTTTATATTAAAAAAACAATCAAAAAAGCTTTTGCTCCTTTATTCTGTTTATGGAAGAATAACCCACATAGGCTTAATCTTTTAAATGATTTTGCTTGTCCTAAGTTACATACTTACTGTACAAAAATAACTGCAAAATGCGGGATTCTGCTAATGCCTCACTGAGTACACAAAATGAGTTTTATTCTAAAGACAAATCTGTGTTACTAGAAACAAAAACCCAATATGAGCCATCACTCTTCCCACCACTGCCATCCTGATCAAGCACGAAGAACTGTGGGAGTGGGGTGAGACGCTCACCCCTCCACACTCCCCGGAGCCCCTCCACGCTCAGGGCACTGCTCCAGGAGCCCCCGGCCTCTGCAGCTGCCACCTGATTTGTGGGTGGGAGT